AAAATCTCATTGGTTAAAAAGTTGACAGTTTGACAGCTGAAAGTTGAACTTGAAAGCTTGCATAAATTAAAATTTGATCCGTCTGTACTCTTATAGACGATAAAAATGAGCCAATCAGCGCGCGAGAAATTAGACAAATATTTTAAAACATTATTTTAGGATATGTTTTGCGACATTCTGAAAACTGCGCTAGACGCACGTCAAATTTTGAACTTTAATTAAATAAAAGATCAACTTTACCTGAACAGTTCCTGTGAACCTGTAGCTTTCAGCGCCATGTACATCGCGCCACAGAATCCAAGAAACACAACGACAAATACGACGCTAAAACGAGTTATATCACGGTAGATAATTCTTGCAAGAGTCTTCGTGTACAGACCGGTGGTTCTACAAAGCAAAATATGCACGTTCAATAAAATTCTTCCTTCGTGACCCATCATGCAATTTTACAATTACTCAGTTAACACTTGAACAATATTGACTTTTAGTAGCATTCGTACACCGGAACGGAGAGCTTTTCCGCATTCTGGCCACGCGAGGAAAAACGTTACCGCGTCAAATTTTCATGAACACATGACCTCTTTCGTGCGCGGGATTGCTTGCGGAAATAATTCACAATAATAAATGATAATTCACATCAATAATTAATGATAATTCACAATCATTAATGATAATTTACAATAATTAATGATAATTCACAATATTAATTGCTAATTCATGATAATTGACGATAATTCGTGATAATTAACGATATTTCACGATAATTATTCGCGATAATTAGCAAGCTGGATGAAATTAACAAATTGGAAATCTACACAGAACATAGCAAGTTTAATCATGGACATGAATCACAAAACATAAAATAATATATTCAGACAATTTTACCTGGTGACGCAGGAAAACTTGAAGAGCCGTAGGAAATTGAACAAGTAGCCGAGCCCGGCAAGACTCCATTGGGAATCAACCTCAACAAACCGAAGAGGAATAACGAGAAATGTCAAGATAAGACCCAGCCAGTCAAAATAGTTATAAGGATCTTTGAAATAGGTTCTCCATTCCCTACAAATGATATGAAAACTTCTGGTTAATAAACTTCCAATTTTAATTACTGTTTTAACGTTACTAACTGCAGTCTACCACATTTATGAGGATAATTTTACACATTTAGCAGCCTCCACAAAGTATTTTTTCTATAAGATGTTACTGTTCGACATAACCGTGTAAAACTAAAGAGGCCAATATTACAGTGCATGTGATTCAGTGGAGGGAACGATTACTGCATAGTAGTTTTAAGGAGTTTTAATCAGTTCCCTTGTTTCCATCTACCGTATAGCTCAGTTTTATTACATTGTACTATTTGCTATTTGTGATTTATCAAAAATTCTCGCGTGGACCCACCAACTCAACCAATCATATGCAAGACTAAAACCACTCGCCACTTGGTTACAAGTGTTTTCCCGCGCTTGGCACCGATCACGTGCGTTTCCTTCGCCTTCTCGTTGATTGGTCCGTTGTCTTGTTTACGTTTGTTGTGATTCGCCACACTAATTACTTAACGACTCACCGTTCCGCTTGGTTGACCTCCTCAAAAAAGTAAAACATGAGAAAGATGATAGTGAAGATTTCACAGAATAGCCGCAGACCATCTGCTTTACCATCGTACTGGTTTGGGTCTTCAACAGTCGAGCCATGGATGAGTGCGTATGATAACAGTGTTAGAAACAATATGTAGAAAGATGCTTGAACGCTGGAACATAAAGAGCAATTAACTTAAGAGAGAAAAATTCTAGTTTAATTTTTAATTTTTTGTCGTAAAAAGCGGGCATTTCAATGAAAAAAAGAAAACAAAAAGCAAAACAAAACAAAAAATTCGGCTTTAAGTGAAGACCAAGGCATTATATCTAGAGTTTGCATGGTCGGGAGAAAATTTATATCAGCAAGAACAAATACGACTGAACTTCAGGAAAGAAGAGCAATTTTAAAACGTACCGACAGGGCACAAAAGGAAACTTGAATTGCGGCCGTGCTAAATGCCAGCAACTTAATTCATAAAAAGCGATCTTAAATCCACATCTAAAACACCAACAACCACGCGATTGAAAGTCGTTTGTCACTCACAAAACTGTTGAGTTATTTGACGGTTTGTATCAAAACCTTATTTTTGAGTGTCGTGAATTGACCTTTGCAGCATGAAATCCTTTTAAAACGCAATCTGCGAGATTAGAAACTCTAGTTTTACTTTGTTGTGAACTGTGGCCGTTCTACTGTAGTTTTTCGAAAGCTCATCAACTGATTAAAACGTGAAATGACCGTTTCGTTTCGTGAAACGTGCTACGGAAACTCGTTACACGTACTAAATCGGCCTTTCCCGCGTCCCTGGCAAACTATAACTTGGGTTCTCATTGGCCAAACTATGGGCGAAAAAAACATGTTAAAAACAATATACATGTATTAAAGTTAAAGTAAAAAAAATTTTTATCGACGTGGCAAGGCGGAAATAATTTCTGCACGGTGTAAACTTGGTTCTTACCAGAACCACCAATGGGCGAAGTTGTTCCATTTTCTTGAAACTAGCATTCGGACGACAGGGTGCTGCACAGCTTCCTAAACATACAGAAAGTNGTGAAGACCAAGGCATTATATCTAGAGTTTGCATGGTCGGGAGAAAATTTATATCAGCAAGAACAAATACGACTGAACTTCAGAAAAGAAGAGCAATTTTAAAACATACCGACAAGGCACAGAAGGAAACTTGAATTGCGGCCGTGCTAAATGCCAACAACTTAATTCATAAAAAGCGACCTTAAATCCACATCTAAAACACCAACAACCACGCAAACAAAGCAAGAACACAGTGATTGAAAGTCGTTTGTCACTCACAAGACTGTTGAGTTATTTGACGGTTTGTATCAAAACCTTATTTTTTAGTGTCGTGAATTGACCTTTGCAGCATGAAATCCTTTTAAAACGCAATCTGCGAAACTAGAAACTCTAGTTTTAATTTTGTTGTGAACTGTGGCCGTTCTACTGTAGTTTTACGAAAGCTCATAAACTGATTAAAACGTGAAATGACCGTTTCGTTTCGTGAAACGTGCTACGGAAACTCGTTACTGGTGCTAAATCGGCCTTTCCCGCGTCCCTGGCAAACTATAACTTGGGTTCTGATTGGCTAAACTATGAGCGGAAAAAACATATTAAAAACAACATAATAAACTTAAAGTAAATAAAATTTTTATCGACGTGGCAAGGCGGAAATAATTTCTGCACGGTATAAACTTGGTTCTTACCAGAACCACCAATGGGCGAAGTTGTTCCATTTTCTTGAAACTAGCATTCGGACGACAGGGTGCTGCACAGCTTCCTAAAGATACAGAAAGTGTAAAGTGTAAGTAAAACTCAGCTTCAAAGACACATATTCGCTCAGAAACGACAAAACAAAACGAGACCAGTTTAAAAGGCGGACAACGCAATCAACCAAAAATAACACAACGTCGCTAATAAAATGTTCTTCTCCGGCAACCAAACTTTTTGAACTGAACTTCTCTGTTGGAAAAAATTTCCTCGAGATTGTCAAACCTGTTCCAGTCAATGAGATTTGGCGTGAGCCAGACCTTAAATGAAACCCTGCGGTCCAAAGCTTTACACAAACCTTGTTTCCACTCTCTGCAATGCGCCTAAGGCAAGACAGTGACTTATGGTTAAATTTCGGGTTAGGTAGTGTTTGCGTCTTAATCGCTGTGCCATGTTCATCCACTTCTGTGGCCACCTCTATTTTAGGCTGTCTTCCACTGTCGTCGGCCTCCAGTACGTGATAAAAGAAGTCATAGTTCATTGGATCATCAGGTACACTACTCAAAGCACGCTCGATTTCATCCTGGTTTTCATCATCGTCCTTGCTCTGAGGCAGGTATGGCCAGTGGGGATTGATGAGTTTGTCCAATACTGCAAGAACTGTTTTCTGAATAAAACAGAAAGTGATGAAAAGATTAATTCATAAATAAAATGCATTGTCTCCAGGAGGGTGAGGCAGGAGTGCATGGCAAACAAAACGAAAACACAAAACAAAAAAACATGCTATAGCAAGAAAATTCTCATTCTCATTGGTCAAAAACTCCTCTGCGCCCCAGCCCCAAAAGTCAAGTGGGACAGTTTGTGAAATTTACACGATGTAGTAAGTGACCTTCCCAAGAACCCAGTTACAGGACATTCTCAGAGAAGAAAGTTGACCATATAATTCATCTCTGCATTGATTTTTTGCTTACCCTTAATTCCTTTTAATAGTTGTACACCAGAAAAATACCCAGCCTTAATCCACCTAGGAAAAAAGATGGCGGCTGTAAATTTTACCACAATGCCTTGCAAACCTAACACAGCCTATAAGGCACTAAGAAAGCCAAATGTTTACAATATTTGTCCCTGTACAAAGGACATTGAGTAGCCTGGGCTTGAAGGTTTTATAAC